GCTCACAGCAACCTCCAACTCCTGGGCTCAAGTGAGTCTCCTGCCTCAGCCTCCCAAGTAGCTGGGACCACTGGCGCCCGCCACAACACCTGGCTATTTTTTGGTTGCAGCCGTCATTGTTGTTTTGGCGACCTGGGCTGGATTTGAACTCGCCACCTTAGATGTATGTGGCTGGTGCCTTAGCAACTTGAGCCACAGGTGCCGAGCCCAACTCCTGGGCTTAAGCTATTCTCCTGCCTCTGCCTCCCAGTAACTGTGATTTTTGGTTGGCAGGACTGGGCTGGATTCGAACCCACCAACTCAGGTGTATGTGGCTGGCGCTATAGCCACTTGAGCCACTGGAGCAGAGCCTTCTTTTTTTTGAGACAGACTTACTTTGTCACCCTTGGTAGAGTGTCATGGCACCACAGCTCACAGCAACCTTAAACTCTTGGGCCCAAGTGATTCTCTTACCTTAGCTTCCCAAAGAGCTGGGACCACAGATGCCTGCCACAATGCCTGGCTATTTTTTTTTTTTTCTTGTAGTTGTCATTGTCGCTTAGTTGGTCTGGGCGGGGTTCAAACTCGCCACCCTCAGTATATGTGGCTGGCACTGTAACCACTGTTTATGGGCACTGAGCCTGTTTTTCTCTTTTAAAACTGTAGGATATGCTTAGCACCTGTAGCTCAGTGGCTAGGGTGCCAGCCACGTACACTGGAGCTGGCAGGTTTGAACCCAGCCCAGGCCTTCAAAACAATAGTGACAACTATAACCAAAAAATAGCTGGGCGTTGTGGCAGGCACCTGTAGTCCCAGCTACTTGGGAGGTTGAGGCAAGAGAATCGCTTAAGCCTAAGAGTTTGAGGTTGCTGTGAGCTGTGATGCCACAGAGCTCTACCCAGGGTGATATAGTGAGATTCTGTCTCAAAAGAAAAAAACTATAGCATAATTATAAGTAATCTGCTAAACCTCTTTCTTACCCCAAATAAATAAGAGCTAGGGAGTATGTGGGTGTTAGAAAAATTGAAATGGAAAGGGCTAAAAGAGAAAGATTTACATTTTCTTTCTGTCTGTTCAGTTCCTTTTAGATATTGTGAAAATAGAGACCCTGGGGTGTTTGTCAATAAGAGAGAGAGATGGGGCTAATATGATTGATCTTAGCCCTTTCTAAGAAACTATGGGTTTGGCTTGGCGCCTGTGGCTCAAGTGGCTAAGGCGCCAGCCACATACACCTAAGGTGGTGAGTTTGAATCCAGCCCAGGCCTGCCAAACAATAATGACGGCTGCAACCAAAAAATAGCCAGGCATTGTGGCGGGCTCCTGTTGTCCCAGCTACTTAGGAGGTGGAGGCAGGAAACTCGCTTGAGCCCAGGTGTTGGAGGTTACTGTGAGCCATGATGCCACGGCACTTTACCCAGGGGGACAGCTTGAGGCTCTGTCTCAAAAAAAAAAGATATTTTTCTGATATTTTTCTTTCTTCCTTTTTTTGTTTTTTTTTTTGAGACAGAGTCTCAAGTCACTTGGGTAGAGCGCTGTGGCATCATAGCTCATAGCAACTTCAAACTCTTGAGCTCAAGTGATCCTCTTATCCTTTTGCCTTACCCTCAAGAGTAGTTGGTACTATAGGCACTGCCACCATGCCTGGCTGTTTTTTTCTCTTTTTAGTAGAAATGGGGTCTCACTGTTGCTCAGGCTGGTCTCAAACTCCTGAGCTCAAGCAGTCTGCCAGCCTTGGCAGAGTGCTAAAATTATAGGCGTGAGCCACTGTGCCTGACCACTGGTATTTTTCTGTTACTTTAGCAAGTTCGTCCTTCCAACCACAGTATAGCCAACTTAATTTACATAGTGATAGGTCCAATTATGGAGGATTTTTTAAGGGGTCAGTGAGAATCCCAATATTTAACTGACTTGGTTTAAAGTTGTCAAGGTATAGTATTCTAAATCCTTATTTATGAAACAAATTGTGAAAGGCAGCATGTCACAGACCCACGTAATCTAAATGAGACCCAGAATGTGACCATAACCAGGAAGTTCAGGATATCTGGGGGATTTTATATTTTCTAAGTCTCAGAGATACTGTGCTTGGTGGTGTAATTAGGTTTAGAAGAAAACCTTTAACATTGTAAAGTCAAGCCCTCCTCCACAACCAGGGGTTGACATCTTTCATGTTAGATATATCTAAATGCCATCTTTCCTTCCTTGAATGAAACTAGTAAGCCCATGGGGTGCTTTTAACCCTCAAGAGATAACCATACTCAGATTTACCTGCTTTATTTATTTATTTATTTATTTATGTATTTTTTAGAGACAGAGTCTCATTTTGTCACCCTTGGTAGAATGCCATGGTGTCATAGCTCACAGCAACCTCCAGCTCTTGGGCTTAGGCGATTCTCTTGCCTCAGCCTCCCAAGTAGCTGGGACTACAGGCACCTGCCACAACACCCAGCTATTTTTTGTTGCAGTTTGGCCAGGGCCGGGTTTGAACCCGCCACCTTCGGTATATTGGGACTGTGCCCTCCTTACTGAGCCACAGGCACTGCCCAAAGTGTTACATCTTTTGTTGTTGTTGTTGTTGTTGCAGTTTGTCTGGGACTGGGTTCGAACCTGCCACCCTCAGTATATGGGGCTGTAGCCTACCCACTAAGCCACAGGCCCTGCCCTGATTTACCTGATTTAGAAACAAAACAAACTTTAAAAAACCTGAAACCAGAAGGTGAGGATGGGCAGTACCTTGGTGTCCTTTGCTTTATTTCAGGATAACATTGCTGTGCAAGTGTATCAGATTGTGGTTGCAGTATACTCGGAGGAGGCGAGACAAGCAGGTATGGAGTGCATCACAGCAGATAGCTCTCCTGGCTAGCATTCTTGGATCCATTTGCTTTGAAAAGATTCTTGGGAAAGGATGATGCCAAGAGGTCTTGTTGTTCTGATTTGGAACAGAGGTATTCCAGGTCCCACCCCCCCTGTGATGCTCCTATTTCTTCATCTGCTGTGAAAATGCAGGTGAGAGTCAATGAGCTCTTACTGTCCATTCGCATTTTTACTCAAATTCATTTACTATGTGAATTGGCCAGCTGGTCACCCAGTGGGAGCTTCAGGGGGTATAGGGAGAGATGTTGAACATAAGCACTGAATCCTAGTGCTAAACTGTGACACACAGGTCCCCCAGGGGGTGGATGTGGTGGGGTCAGGATGACAAATTTGTAGAGGCAGATTGAGAAAGAGTCAATTCTGTTTAAGAAATACTGATTGAGCAACTGCTATGCTGCAGATACTGCTCAGCACTGAGGCTACAGCTATGATACAAGGAGACAAAATTCCTGCTCTTACAGGACTCACAATTTAGCAGCAGGGTGGCAAATAAGTGTGATTTATGCAGGCTAGTTCTAATGACTAGGAGCAGCTATCTGGAATACTGAACTGAGAAGGCTTTCAAAGGCACGCTTAGATTCAGCGGGAATGCATTGTTCATGAGTGACATCTGAGAGCCTTGCAATGAGAAGTGCCCCCTTCTTGGCAGTGAAACAGAGGAAGATATAAACCAAACTTCCAGTCATTTTTGTGCTGCCCTCCCCACCCCCACCTGTATCTGCTGCTATAGTCTAACTTGTAAATCTGAACATTTGGGGATAGAATGCAAATTTTTCTTTTGAGACAGAGCCTCACGCTAGTGCCCCAGGTAGAGTGCCGTGGCATTACAGCTCACAGCAACCTCCAACTCCTCTCCTGCCTCCGCCTCCCAAGTAGCTCGGATTACAGGC